AGTAACTATAACCCCTGCCTGAACCAAACTTGCATGGGTGATGCATTTAGGGCTGGACACTACCAGACTTGCTTCAGATGCTGGATCTGACCTACATTTTTATTCCCAAGTAACTTTAAGCCCTACCTGAACCAAACTTGCATGGATGATGCATCTAGGGATGGACAATAACAGACTTGCTTCGGCTGCTGGATCTGACCTACATTTTTATTCCTTAGTAACTATAACCCCTACCTGAACCAAACTGATCAAATTTTATACACATACAAATTTTCATGTTGCTTTACTAAATATCCTCGGCGGGGCATTCATGTCCTATGGATATATTTCTAGTTTTCAATATTTCATACAGAGCACAACCTCTGATCCAAAATATGCAAATACATACTAAAAGCTCAGCTTCTGAAGATCACAAAACATGTTTTATTTTTTGGATCGTGGACTGTGCTCATATTTTAATTTTTTGCTGAAGGTAGTCAAATACACATGTTTTCAGCAAATTTCAAGAACATTGCAATTTCACAAACTTGTTTTCCAATATCTGAATTCTCATAACGATTTTTTTTGTTATAGAAAATGAAAGCACCAAGTGTCTACTTTATTTTGACATATAAAATGGGAAAGAGAGTGATAGTTAATTATTTGATATAAGTACAGGGCCAATTTATGCATAAGATGGCTCTTGCTCTTTGATGGTATGTTTTAAAAATCTTGTTCTCAAGAACCACTGTGCCAGGAAAGATGAAACTTATGGGGAAACATCCTCAGGTAGTGTAGATTCAAGTTTGTTCAAATCATGACCCCCGGGGGTAGGGTGGGGCCACAATAGGGAATCCAAGTTTAACATAGAAATATATAGGAAAATTCTTTAAAAATCTTCTTCTCAAGAATGACAAAGCCATAATTGATCCTATTTATATGGAAGCATCCTCAGGTAGTGTAGATTCAAGTTTGTTCAAATCATGACCCCCGGGGATAGGACGGGGCTACAAGGGATGATCAAATTTTTAAATAGAAATATATATGAAACTGTTATTTTGTTACTGACCGATGGTTAATTTTCATTGTGAACAAATGTACAAAGATGAGGAGCATAATATAGTTGGCTATGTATATTGCCTAATTTTTGAACATACTATGTAATAAATATTAATAATGATCTTTGAATAATTGGAAAGACAATATTATAAATATGATAGCATATTTGTACACGAGCATACATTTTTGAAAGGAAAGAAAATCATTCAAATGCATTAAAAAAAATATTTTGTTTCATATTCTTGCGAATTATCAGATCATTCTTCTATTATTCTAATACTCTGTCATTATGAAACCTTGTTAATAATTTAGTAAATATTAATCAAGTACATTTGCACCAATTTTTCCATGGCACTTTCACACTAAGAATGCCACGTGCAAAATTATATACAGGAACAATTCTGAACAAATATATGCAAGTGAATTGTAAATTTGATATGTAATGCATACATTACAAAAACTCATTACAGTGTTCACTAAAATGAAATGTATGGACTCTTATATTAATTACTTGGTATATGTCATATGGATATTATGGATATTATTTTTGAGAATGACACAAGTAATGAATTTTTTCAGCATTGAAATGGATTCTTGAACCAGAGCCATGTGAACCTGGTCCACCTGTACCTCTAATTGAAGACCTATTAACATCACCAGAGTATGTTCATTCTGATACCCCTATGGTATGGTTACGACATGCATTATCCCTGTCAGATGAAGCCATTAAAAGAGCTGCAATGGAAACAACTGGGCAACGAGACAACCCAATGTGGTCGATTGTAAGGAAATACAGAATAACAGCTTCCAACTTTGGTGCAGTTCTCAGTTCTAAGCAAAGGCGGTAAGACGTGTGATTAAATTTTTGCGAAATAGACTTTTTAAATTACAGTCAAACTTTGTTATCTCAAACCCATTATCTCAAATTCCATGGATATGTCAAAGTAATTTTGAAGTCCAAACCATTTATAAAAGACTGGGACATTTTATTCTCGATAACTCTTTATGTATTATTCTTGAATCCACGGATATTTCCAACATTTTTCTTGGTCTCATTGAGTTTGAGATAATTAGGTTTGACTGTAATGGCTAGACATTTATACTCCCGCTCCGAAGGAGAGGGGGGTATACTGTTTTATCCTTGTGTGTCTGTCCGTGTGTCAGTGTCTTCGTGTGTCTGTGTGTCCGTCCGAAATAAATTTTTGTCACAGTTTTCTCAGCAACTACTCATCGTAGATGCTTGAAATTTTAACACAGTCTTCTCTGAGGCATGCCATATGGTGGGATACATTTTCGCTGAAATCCGATGTCAACTTCCTGTTTGTCTGTGCGTCTGTCCTTTTCATACATAACAAATTTTCGTCACAGTTTTCTCTGCAACTACTCGTTGTAGATGCTTGAAATTTTTACAAAATCTTCTCTGAGGTATGCCATATCTTGGGATACCCGGTACATTTTTTTTCAAATCAGATATCAACTTCCTGTTTGTCTGTCTGTATCACACAACAAATTTTCGTCGCAGTTTTCTCATTAGCTATTCATAGCGGATGCTTGAAATTTTATTACACCTTTTGTTGAGGCATGCCATATGGTGGGATTAATTTTGATATGAATCTGATGTCAACTTCATATTTTTCTGTGCATCTGCTTGTAATTGAACTTGGGTATATATATTTTAAAACATGATAGTGCTTATTTACATCAGAGCGGGGGTATTACTAGTGAGCATTGGCTCACAGATTTATGTACATATAGATGCAGGAAATATAAGATTAATAACCAACAATAGGCTCATGGGCCACATCGCTCACCTGAGAAGCTTTGACCATTCTGTTCTTTACCAGATTTCCCCCTTGTAATACATAAAGCATCCCCACCCTACCCCACTGATCATAATTAAGACATTTTGAAATCTACACTGACCCATGATCCTTCCATGTGCACATAAGTTTCAGCTTTTCTGGCCCAGTGGTTCTTGAGAAGAAGATTTTCAAAGATTTCTCTTATATATTTCTATGTAAAACTTTGATTCCCCATTGTGGTCCCGCCCATCCCCCGGGGGTCATGATTTGAAGAATTTAGAATCTACACTTTACCAGGATGCTTCCACATAAGTTTCAGCTTTTCTGGCCCAGTGGTTCTTGAGGAGAAGATTTTTTAATGACCCCAACCTATTTTTGTCTTTTCTTGATTATCTCCCCTTTTGAGAGGACTTGGCCCTGTATTTTAACAATTTTTATTCCCCTTTACCCAAGGATGCTTTGTACTAAGTTTGGTCAAAATTGACATAGTGGTTCTTGAGAAGAGGTCGAAAATGTGAAAAGTTTACAGACGGACAGACAGACGGACAGATGACGGACAAGATGTGATCAGAAAAGCTCACTTGAGCCTTTGGCTCAGGTGCGCTAAAAATCATATTTTCTTCTTCAGATTGACATTGTCACTGAAAAAACGGCTTATGTCAGCTTACAATCTGGAGTCCATCAAGGCTGTTGCATGGGGTATCACTCATGAAGATGATGCTTTGAGACAGTATGAAAAGGACTTTGATGCATCTGTAGAGCAGTCAGGTATACAGCACAAAATAATATTCCTTCAACTTCTGACATGTTAACATTCATTGTGTCAAAAAATAACAGGACTTATCCCAATGACAAAAAGAAATCAATTACTGAAGTCTAATTGTAAAAATAAAAAAATTTCAATTACCAACATATTCCAGAAAATTTGCTGGGAATCTTTTTGAAGTGGAAGGATTATAAAAGCTCTAATTAGACTTTGTTTGCATTACAAAATCAATTGTACATGTATTATGGTTTGTTTGCATTCAGTAGTATTATAATTTTTTCTGAAAGGGATATGGTTGCATGAATCCAGAGTATTGGGAGCTTCACCTGATGGCTTAGTTGTTCGACCACCAACATGCAGTGTATTTTATCAAACTCCAGAAGCCAAAGACGCCATTCCTGATATTGTAGAGGTGAAGTGTCCATATTCAGCATCATCTTTAACAGTAGCAGATGCAGCACAAAATTTGAAGGATTTTTTCATAGGTAAATAACAAATTATAAGTTGGATTAAAAATCTGTATTGTCCAGTACTTTGAAATTAAAAATTTTGGTAAATGATTTCAATACATGTATTAATTTACAAGTGCAACTGTTCAATATGGTATGAAGATGTGGAAAAAGGAGGGGATATGAATTGGTATAACACAACTTAAGTGTTGTTTGATTTTTTTAGATCTTAAACAAGATACCCTGTGCCTGAAAACCAGTCACCCATACTATCATCAAATTCAAGGCCAACTACACATATGTAACAAAACATGCTTCGACTTAATTGTGTGGACAAGAGTAGACTGCATTGTGATTAGAATAGTAAAAGACATTTAATGGACAGCAAATGTTTCAAAGCTGATAGATTTCTACTTTAACATTTTCATTCCAGCACTGATGGAAAACTGAGTTCTGGTTTGAACTTCTTGACACTTGGTTTTGTACCTCTAGAATTGTACCTCTAGAATTTTCTAACAATGGAAAATGGGTAATCATGTTAAACGTGTTGAATGTTCCTAAGTCTTATAAATGTATGATATGATGTGTCACAATCCATCATAAAACTTCTGGCTTATAAGACTACTTTAAATAGCAATGATGATTAATAAAACCTATGTACTACATAAAAAAGAATATCAAAATTTAGAATCATTTTATTAATGAATTGAAGATGTTTTTCTCAAAGTGAAAATGTAACATTTTTGTCTTTGTTAATAAATTGTTGAAAATATGAATTTGTTGAGTTGTGCTTTAAAGGTACCACGGTAAATATACTTGAAACTAGAGATTTAAAATTATAAGTAAACCCTCTTCCAAATTATATTGTCAAATGAAGAATGGAATTGCCAAACATTCTTGTAATAAAAACGTACTGTCACACACCAATGCAAATCTATAATAAGTAATTTCTTTCAAAAGTGGAGCTTGCAAGTTTACAAGACAAGAACAGAGTTGAAATATTTTTGTTGAGATTGGTCTGTAAGTAGATGGGATGTGACGGAGAATCTTGTAATTCTTTATCCTCTCTTTGGCTCTTTCCGCATGAATACGTGCTTTAGCAATCTTGTAACACAGTGCTGCTTCTTGTTTGGTAAACTGGCCTCATGTCTATAAAAAAGCTGGTATATTAAAGCAGACACCCTGGGGCAACTGGTCATGAATGGTGAAACCTTTGTCCGCCAAAATAAGGTCTCCAGCTTTGAACTTTCGTAAAACTTGGCTGTGACGTACAATAGCTACATCTGAAGTAGAACCTGGGTACAGCATGGAGCAAAATGTAAGTGCACCGTTTGGAGCCATGCAAGTCACTGCTTTAACAGTATGGCGACTTTTGTACATACTGTAGGCCATGGCCTGATTGTCCATATGTGTTGGGATGTCCTGGATTGTTTCAATTGCATCCATGGATGCTCTAGCAGAGGAAAAATCCTCGAAAGATTTTGGCAGAGACCCTGAAAAAAAGTTGGAAAAAAATTAATTTGATTATTTGTAATTGTGTAAAAAAGATTGTGTTAGGCCTAGAAAAAAATATGTTTGTTTCCGCTTTCAGGCTGAAAATATATAGGGTACGTAGGGAAAAATTTTTTTTTTGAGAAAATTTTTTTTTTGCTTCTTTAATCAAAAAATCAAAACATGTATAGAAATTAACATTAATGACAAAAGAAATGGTGTTTTTAAGCATTTCTGTGACTTAAACTGATAATAGAAAGGTGACCCAAATTCTTTCCGTCTTGAAAAGCTTGCAAAGTTGGATACATCATGGGACAAAAGCATTAAAAAAATATTTTGGGTCGGCACTATAAATTAGGGTCGGTCGGGAAAGCGGAAATAAACATATTTTTTTTCTGGGCCTTACAGTCAAACTTTCAAGAATACAATAAATGTAACTGCATAAAATTTTTGCAATTCATAGTGATAAATTTTAAAACAAACCTTTGCATTTTAGCTGACTTGGAAAACATTCATTAACTACGCCATCAGACAGCATCTTGTGTAGTGCATGGCGCATGAACAAGGGTATGAAAGATGTTCAAAACTGTTGGTCGACTGACACAGAATCTATGAGCCAAGTCAGTGTCCCACAGATTGAGTTTTAACTTCACTTGTACAATGAGCAGTTGGTCCTCTGTTTTCATTGAAGGAGTCCAGCCATTATAATAATCGAGTTCAAATCGTTGTAACAATCTGACTTAAGATTTCAAATATGTCATACTGTAGGGATGTATACAAAAGCATCTGAAAATAAATTTGTTTTAATACTGATTAAAATATTTCCAAAAACTGAAAAGATTGTAAATAAATTAGTTTCAAGTAATAACAATATTAGTCACAGTCAGGTTTGCTACTATCCATACTATGCATTTATTTAAAAACTGTTGAAATGAGACATTTAGTGTTCTGATAAAAAATTGTCGTCATAGAGTAAAACATGGTTTATACAGAGAAGGTTTTAGATATTATTCATCCAAAGAGCAAATTAAATGATTTTTTTCTCTGTTATTTTAAATTGCATATTATGAACTCAACAATAATAACAAAATATGTTAACATAACAGTCAATCTAAGATGTTCATCCCTCAACGGCAACAAGTTTTACTGAAATTGTTAGGAAATAGAAAATCACATTTGGAATTCCTTTAAATGTACCTTCTCTTTGTTGTCTTTAATATTGTGAATTGACATTGGCTTCCTTTAACTAGACTCGATTTTTAGGGCAAGCAATTCCTTTTCCAGTTGCTGTATTTCTGTTGAGAGGCGCTGCTTTTCTTGAGTACAGTTAAATGTGCAGGATGCTGAGTAGTTGTGCTCTGATATCAACTGAAAATATATTGTAAATCATGAGTAATTCGATGTACAGTTAAAAGAACTGTTATATTATTAAATTTAAAAATTATTGAAAATCTTTCAGTGTTGGTCATTTGTCATCAATGGTGTTTTAAATGAGCTTTACTTTTTCTTGATCTTGACATTTTGGTGCTTGTGGAATCTGCAACTGGTCCATCTGTGAAGATGACAGGGACTCCTCACTTTTGAGTTTTTTCCTCCTTTGTAAAATAATTAAACTTGAATTATTTTTTATGCCCCCGTAAACGTAGTTTCAGGGGCATATAGTTTTTGTCGTGTCTGTCTGTCTGTCTCTCTGTTTGTCTGTTTGTCCGCAAAACTTTAACCTGGCCCATAACTTTTGAATTAGAGGAGATATGACTTTCATATTTCATATGTATATTCCTTGTGACAAGATCATTCTTTAGGTACCACCAAATTTGACCTTTTGACCTTGACCTTGGAGTTTGACCCACTTTTACATGAAAATTTTAAAATTTTACTTTGGCCATATCTTTTGAACAGTAGACACCAGGACATTTATACTTCACATATGTAATGTTTGTTAAAAGACCTTTCACTAAATACCAACAACCTTGGCCCTTTGACCTTGACCTTGTAGATTTCTGTACTAGTGAAAAAACTCTAACCTTGGCCATAACTTTTGAACGGTAAGGGATACGGCTTTCATACTTCATATATGTAATTCTTTTGAGAAGACCCTTAATTGGATACCAAGAACTTGGACCTTTTGACCTTGACCTTTGAGACTGACCTACTTTAAAAAAGCAAACCTTGACCATAACTTTTAAAGAGTTAGGGCCAGTGCTTTCATACTTTACATATTTGATCCTTATGACAAGACCTTACATTTTATAACAATAATTTTGACACATTGACCTTGACCTTGGAGTTCGACCTACTTTTTTAGAAATTGAACGTTGACCATAACCTCTGAACGGTTAGGGCTAGGGCTTTCATGCTCTACATAAGTATTTTATGTGGCAAGACCTTTCATTTGATACTTATTACATTGACCTTTTGACCTTGGAGATTTTTGTACTTATTGAAAAACTTTAACATTAGCTTACCTTTCAAATTTCACAATTGTTTTCCAGTGAGAATACCCTACTTTTGGTACCAATTAATTAAATTTGCATTTAAGAAAAGCTTAATCTTTGCTATGTTGCCATACGGGGGCATCAGTGTTTTACAAACACATCTTGTTTATTCAGTTGTAAGCTTCTCTGTTTATACATGTACCCTTTTAAAGATTTTTAGTAAAATATTCTCAATAAAACTCCATCCACCCACCATCTAAAAACAAGATGTCGGTCATATTTTGAAAAATAACTTCAACTTTGTGTACATTCAGGATCAGAGAAATTCATGGCCTTTCCTTCATTCCATGCAAAATATGCAGGGCCCCCCTCCTTCTTACCATCCTTAAAGTGGCAGGAGCAGATGCTATCATTTTGATCTCCTGGTTGGCGATCAGCTCGTCTAAAAATATATTTATATACAAAGACTGAGTGAAGGAGAATTAAAAAGCAAAACATGTTCATTTGGCATGTTATTATCAAATCATAGCCTAAATGACTTATTTTTTCATTATTTTTTTAATGTTACATTTACATGCAAGTACAAGATAACCATGTGCATAACATTTAATAACAAACGGTAGCAGTACTTGGTAGTAATAATACGAAATAAAATGTAATAAAAACAGCTGTTAAACAAAAATTAACCTTGTTACAAATTGCACAGTTTTTGTAGAATTTACTTTTCATTATTCTTCTGCTATATGTAAGAGTTACATGATGACACGAGATGATGCATACAAAATATCGTTGAGTTATTGCACGCGAGGAGGCCTTAGCCTCCGAGTTTGCAATAACGAAACGATATTTTGTATGCATCATCGAGCTGTCAATCATGTAACTGATTTATCCCATGACCCTTCATTTGACCTTTTCCCATATTTGGTATTTTCTTTGCATCAACTAATAAAGACTCTGAAACAGAACCACGTGATAGTCTTAACGCGAAGTGTTTTTGGTATCGAAGTAACGGATTTACAAATTTGGTAATTTTCATAGCACTGTACCACGTGATCAGTTTCTTGAGATAATCAATTCATTTGTTCCATGATCTGGCGAAAATGACAGAATGGGTCAAGCGTAAAGAATCGTCGTTTTTCAGCAAGCCTACGACGTGGATAATTTTCAATCGAGTCAAGCAGTTCAGATGTATGAACTCGGGCGATCGGTTTTAATTGGCCCGTGGGGCCAAGACTTTATGAATTTCGATTTACAGAATTGGTATTTGGGATCGTTCCCGGAATTGAAACGGGGAAAATTTACGGAATGGACTGATAATACTATAGATTCGGAGAACATGTGTCGGCCATTGAAATGAGTGCGCTTAGAAAAATCAAGTAAAACCACGAGCCGTTACACTTCATGGGCAGTCAACATGGTTCAAGTGTTCAACGACTGGAAATCTCAGCGAAACAGCAGCTTGGTGAGTTTAAAATAATTCCCGAAATACTCACTAGTAAATACCAAGAACTTGCGTAGTTTATATGTCACGTTTTGTGCACTGTATTTGAAGCCAGGGGCGCATACGGATTCCCCTACCCCCGAGGACTTTATATCCGATTTGTTCCAATATTCTATGGTACATGAGAGCAAGTTGTTCATGATATGAACTTTTCAGAGGATGCCAGGAAGGAAAATGCTACTATTGAATGTGCGAATTCCTATCATAGGAGAGGAAGTTATCCGCTTCGAGAATTATGCTCCGCCAGACCGTGTCAGTGTCTTTTTTGTAAAGATTTGTGCATTTTGAATTAAACTGTAATCTGTTATTTTTTTTCCTCTTGTTTTTGTTAGTTCATTAAAATCTAGAAACGAATTTTTGTCTCATTTGCATAGCTCCTCCTACATCCAGGGTATAACAGTTGGATATCACTAGCTTTATATCATATACGTGATATTTAATATATCGCCACACTTATGTTGATATGAGAAATACACCCTTGTGAAGATCAAAGAAAAATTTGTCGGTCATGGGATAATGATTAATTACGACGAGATTTAACTTTTTAGCATGTAACGTTATGTATAAATATCTGACAATGCAGCATCGTCACATATCGTTACAAGTACCTACAAATTTTGTCAATATTTCTACGTTTACTGAGTATTTTCCCTAGCAGGCCGAAATATCTCCATCATGTCACCAGGGTCAACATTCGTGCATCTCGTAATTAGTGCTGTAATAAACAAACTGACTGACTGTTTTTTTTTTCTCACCAGCTGCATAGTTTTCCCCAATCGCTCCAGCTACTTTCGTTATTTCTAACCAATGAAAATTGTCCTTACTTTCTTATAAAACTGTTGCGTCATATTGCACGCATCACTGAATTGTAGAACACACATCACAAGATTTCGAATATGCATCACAAGATTATCGAACAAACATCACAAGATTATTGAACATACATCTCAAGATTTCGAATATAAATCACAAGATATTGAATATAAATCACAAGATTTTAAACATATATCACAAGATTATAGAATATACATCACAAGATTTCGAATATACATCACAAGATATTGAATATACATCACAAGATTATAGAATATACATCACAAGATTATAGAATATACATCACAAGATTTCGAATATACATCACAAGATTTTGAATATACATCACAAGATTTCGAACATACATCACAAGATTTTGAATATACATCACAAGATTTCGAACATACATCACAAGATTTTGAATATACATCACAAGATTTCGAACATACATCACAAGATTTTGAATATACATCACAAGATTCCGAACATACATCACAAGATTTTGAATATACATCACAAGATTATCGAATATAGCAACGTTTGACATGCCATATACATCACAAGATTTCGAACATACATCACAAGATTTTGAATATACATCACAAGATTATCGAATATAGAAACGTTTGACATGCCATATCCGACGTTTACCAGTTCACATCATGGATAAAAAAAAGGACTATAAGAATATTTATATCTCAGACCCTAGAGTCTGGACGTACACATATTCAAAGGAAGCCAAGACATGGTTGCAAAATGGTTAAAACTGTCAAAATAGACAAGAATTTTAAACAGCTGTACCAGCGATTTTCCCCAGCAGAGGCAGCAGTAGAGAGAGCAAATTCTGTGCTAAAAGAGACCGTCAAAGAAGGAAGACCACATATGCCGCTGAAGAGAAAGATCAAGGACAACGATAACGGGCCACCTGGAAAGAGGGTTCGATTGTAATAATTAAATAAGACAGTAAATCGGACAAGCCGTCATTTGCACGAAGAACACCATGTCGTCCACACCTTGCAACATATGTCATAAAATTTTTTCACGCACAGATGCCCTAAGAAGACACGAAAGAACCGCTCATACAGGGCAGCATCCATATCGTCGAGGCATTCATTTCAATGGCGGTCACAACCAATTTAAATTTCAGCATCCATTTATCATGGTCATTGCGGGCTCTACTATGTCGGGAAAATCAACATGGATGAAAAAACTTTTACTTCAAAGACAGAATTTCATCTCACCGTCTCCTGACCAAATCATTTGGCTGTATAAAAGATGGCAGCCCTTGTATGAGGACCTCAAGAGACAAATACCTATCCTTGAGTTCATCCAAGGACTACCGGCTGACCTTGACAGCGACGACTTTCAGAACCCTGACGAAAACACACTTTTAATCATCGATGATCTCATGAAAGATTCTACTACAAATGAAGATGTATATGAAATATTCGTGGAGGGTGCCCACCACAGAAACATGAGCATAGTTTGCATTATGCAGAACCTATTCAACAGTGGAAAAGAAAATAGGACAATGAACCTGAACAGCCAATATTTGGTTCTTTTTAAGAATCCGCGAGACAGACTGCAAATATCTACCCTCGCCCGTCAAATGTATCCTGGACATTCCAACATATTGTTAGATGCCTATCAAAAAGCCGTTGATGAAACGCCTCATGGACCCCTTGTCGTAGATTTAAAACAAACCACACCAGAATCCAAGCGATTACAAACCAATATCTTCTTGAAAAAAAATCGCCTCCTGTCGATTTCAGCGAGGTTTCACTCAAGCAAAGTGAGAACAACATTTTGAAACCATTTTGCCTCGATTGTGGTCTAGTTTTTGCTACAGCTTACGACTTAGGTCGTCACACTGCACAAGGCTGCGCCTGTGAAGAAGACTCAGAGGAAGACACGGACAGCAGCGATCAAACAGATGATGAGGACGATACAGTCGGCTTTGATATGATGATCAATACCGTCTGGAAACAACATGACCCTTTATTCCAAGAGCAAGTTACCAAATTAGTCCAAAAAGGAGTTCCAACGGAAGAAGCCAGGGAAACGACCATGAAACGGATGCTGGGAAAAGACAGAGATTTATTACTTTTGAAAAATTATAAAGAACAATTAAAACTGTCTGCCTGCCTCATGAAAAGTGCGTTGCACAGCAGTATTCGTCAGGAAATTCTCTCTCTTATCAATGAAAATGACGTGCCTCTTGAAGATGCAATATCACGTATTCTCGACAAAGACCATGTCAAGTTTAATTACCTCTTTCAAGAAAATGAATAAACTAACACTTTTATTTTGTAATGATATTTGTGCATTATTTTATATTGTTGAAAATGGAAATCAAGTCCGAATAAAATTACAAAAAATCATAGTGTTTTGTTTTTGTCATTACATTCACCACCACTATCACCACCACCACCACCACAATATGGTGGCGTTAGTAAAATTATATATAAGTTCCTACTGCGTTCTTTATAAGAACAGTATGCATTTGTAAAATGCACACATAATTTTTCCCCTCAGAAATGCTTTTGTTATTTAATATTTTTCTCTCCCTGAATGTCATCATTCCAGAGTCCGCGGGTTCCGGAGTCCACGGTCTCCGGTAGCTTCGGTCTCCGGAGTCCACGGTCTCCGGTAGCTTAGGTCTCCGGAGTCCACGGTTTCCAGCCGGCGGCGGTGCTCGCGACCAATCTCCACATTTCTTTTTATGACAAAGTCTTAGAGTACTTGTTGCCCTTCTCTTGTTCTCCCTCCCAACTTTGACAATTAAATACCCGTGTTCATCCATTCGTGTAAGTGCTCCTGTATCCCATTTCACCATCATTTAAATACCCGTGCTCATTCTCCCATTGTTCTCCCCCATTGTTCCCCTATGTTCTCCAACACAATAGACTCCCATTGTTAGGGGGGTATACATCCGCCATTACTACTACTATATAAATTTTACGAATTCGTTATAGGTATATAACGAATTACGGATATACCAAAGTAGTTCTAAAAAAAATCGTATTTTATTATTTTGTTCTGACAAAAAACCCACTCACACCAAATTCAGTTTTTTCATACTGATATTATGATATTAACATATGTTTAATCTTGTAATTACCAAA